GGTGAAGGGTGGCTAGCGTTCGCCTGGCTCCACACGGCGTGAACACGAGTAGACTATTGTCCGAAGCCTGTTCTTGAAGGTGGGTACACTCCCTCGCCTGTGAAAATTATGATTGGAAATGTGGAGTGTTTGAATGCAAAGCGTACGGAGAACAATGAAACGAGTATACCAAGGACACAGTTGTTATTCAGTGACCTCCTTTACATACGATTGTGTCCAGAGAGAACCCTTTAAATACATACCAATTGCCATTCTGGGAGTCTCTTAAATATAATCATGCCATTTTCTGTATTTTCTCACCATTTCCTTACCCCTCTTTCCCCTCTATTGTGTCCCATTTCCATGTACCTTTTTACTCACTTCGCATACTACACCCCGTACCTGACTATGGCAATTCACCAGATGTTCTTGTCGCATCTTCTAACTTATAGCAGACAGGGGTTTGGTCCGGAGGAGAGCTGGTGATTATCATCATTCCCATCTACTACAAACTTGAAGAACCAGCTAATACCTACTTTCGTAAAATCAATGATTTCCCTCCAGGCTCCAGCCAAACTACTAGTATACCCCACTCCTGTCAAGCCTATTGATTTCCCAAATATTCTAGGAGAACGACGCAAGCAACGCGCAAGACCACTGTTCAGACGAGCAAAGCCCTTGATTCTCCTCTGCACACCAGACGAAACCACTAGCCACTTGGTCACTCCCCTCCTACTTGCACAGGTACTAACTGACTAGCATTCTATGTGGAATTCACCCTCCGATTTCTTCAGTGGAACCATTTTAGCAAGTTTTCCATATGAAATGTTCCTGTTCATGTTTAGTCATCCAACCAAGGGGGATGTCCAAGTGGCTTGTGCTTTCATCAAGGGTTTCCCTCTGACAGTCCAGCTTGCGTGTACTGAGTCTGTTGGATCTGGTTAACCGGTATAATAGCCCCAATTCCTTTAATCTGTCCGACTAAACCTATAGTGGGCTAATGCAAGGGTTGACCGCGAGTAGGTTGGGAGGAGATAGTGAATTATACAACTTTATACGGTATTTGTGCATTTTTTCTATATACCTCGGAAACACATGTTATTTTGGCGAGTAGCGATGCAGCAGGTTATGTCTTTTGATTCGAAAAATTTAATAAATCAAACACAACTGCCAATAATACTATCCACGCCGTAACCATCTTGTCCTAACCCCCAGAGGCTGGCAGACAACAATAACGTAGGAAACCCTCTTGTATAAGTGTGCTCGTCTGAGGAAGAAAATCTGGAATACATAACGGCATTGATATCGGTGTTCCCAACGGCCCAGTCCGTCCGTGTTTGGGATAGGACGAGACGGACTATAGCCGTTTTTTTTTTTGACAGTGCTAGGACGGACTACAGGGGACTACGGTCCTGCTATCTAATATCTTACGAATAAAAACGACAACCCCCCCAGTCCCCCACCGTCGCCGATCGTCCCCGCTGGCCCCGGAGTCCCCAGCAGTCCCCTGCCGTCTATGGTCGTTCCCTGCCCTCCCTGGTAATCCCCCGCCGTCCCCGTAGGTCCCTTACGGTCCCCATTGCCAACCTTGTTTCACCCCATAGGGCCCGCCATCCTATCCAAAGAAGGCCGTCCTCAATTGTCACAGCCCGGGAAAGACTGCACGTGGCCCTCCCGTCCCATACAGGGCTCTTGGAAGTCCCCCCGTAGGGCCCCACCAACCCCGCAGACTGTTGGGAACACTGATCAATATGCTTAATTAGTTATATATTCACGCTCACAAAGGTTGGTATTAGCCCTTCTGTGTTGAAATTCATATTCATAAAGCTTGCTTTACATTCGGATATGTTACTCTGGGGCTAGAAAGATCTTACATGTCACAAGTTAGAAAGGCAGAAGTTGGTTTTGGTTTTAGGGAGTGTATGAGAAAAGGATGCAGGTCTGAAATCGTATTTGTATGAAAGGATGTTTGAGAGGATGTTTGAATCTAGCGTTGAATGCTATGGGTTGGAAAAGCTTTTTCCTTTAGTTTCCAACATGCTGAGACGGGCATGTGTCACACCACAACCATTATGTTACAGAAAATGTTGTTAGATGTTGGAAGTACGGAGGTGGCAGCAGGACTGACGAAGAAAAAGACATGAGGGAGATTTGGAAGAGATTTTTCTTATGTATGATGGATAGTGATGTAGATATAGGACACCTCCGGTAGGATGAGGAAATTAAGGACCACAAGAAACTCTCATTCGAACATCTCCCAAAAATAAGAAATTGTAGGTAGGCTGATGGTGGTTCGGATGAGGGAAGTAGTGCTCAAGGAGCCTATTTTTCTTTTTTTGGTTAGAAAATGGAAAATAGATACTTTTAAGGCGAGGGGTGGTGGGTAGCATGGGATTTGAGCCCCAAAAGTCTCTGAGTGACAGGTTGTCGGAAGAGGGTACGGGAAAGTCTGGCGAAGCCTTGGCTGCTAATCCCATTCAAATTCGTTGATCCACGTTCACCTGACTTTCCTCTGCCCCCCTTAGACTCGAGTACAACCTGTGCGTGCCCCCAGCTCCTGACACACCTGCTGAAGTGACGGACCACCTGACCAAGATTTCCAGACGGCGAGTACTTTGTGCATCCGGTCAAGAAGTAACAAACCTTCTTCAATCCGCCATCTGAGAAGAACCATCACAGAGCCGATAGCACGCTAGACAAATATTCAACAAGGCAAGTTTGTTTGTTTAACATCATGTTATCACTCTCACTGGCTAGAGCATTGAAAACTGACGTTCACCAAATTGACGAGAAATTGTAGCCGAGCATCATGTTCAAGCGTATTATGAGCAAACAAGCCTTCAAAGCCTTGGCCATTCCCAACCATCCACATAGACCATTGAGTACGATTCCGGTAAGTTCGGAGCTTCAGTACAGGTTACTGTCAAGGAGATCCTGAAAATTTCAGTCTGGTTTAATATTGGCGCCCAGACGCACACAGACAGTTTACCATTCGAATTTTGATCCCTGTTTTTCAGGTTCTTGTTGCTGGTAACCTGTAGCAAATAGCCAGGTAGGTCAGGCTGAACCGAAACCTGGCCCCGCCTGCCACGACTATGGGGATTTAGCCCGGCCGGAGCCTACAGGCCCCGAAAAATCTAGGCCCGACCGGGCCGGGCCCAGCTATAGCCATATAGGCTAAGTACCTACCACCTAATAGGCCGGCCTGGCCTAACCTATGAATACGGGCCTACAATCTCTTCAGATCTTAGGCTTCCATTCGACCCGTCTTTCCTTCTGCTAGACTAGTCCGGGTTACTCCCGCGAGAACAGTAAGTTATATAGTCCCTGCCCAAATTCCACGCGCCGGTGTTTATAGAATAGAACGAGAATCAGTAAGGTCACTAATAGTATTAGGCACTGATCCTATGTGTGGGTGGTCATACGGATTCACTCGTGGCTGATAAAAATCCCTGAGGTCTAATAGGACTCTGTTAACCCGAGGGGGCACATCCACTGATGGATTTAATAGAATTCCTGCCGAAGAAACTGAATCGTAGGAAGGATTGCGAGATAGCACTGCGTTGGCGAATCTGGAGGTATATTGCCCGAACCTCGTTGAGCTGTTTGTGGAACGGTAATCCCTTTGGGAACACTGTGCACACGTCACTTGGTAAGACCTTTCGCGACTAGATAAGGTCTGCTTGAAAACTAGAGTTCTGATGCGGAATATTTCGCTAAAACCCCCTAGGACGTTTCCAACATCAAACTGAAGCTCGGGCATCTTAGATTTAGACAAAGCGAGATGAGAGCGGATATCAAAGACCTTGGCTATATGACGGAAAGGAAATTTGATAAAACAGATAGCAAGATTGACCACATTTCTATGCTATTACCACCAGTCTTGTTGGGTTTGTCCCCAAAGGTGGATTCGAATACTACCAGGCGGCCAAAAAGTAGACTTTTGCATAGGTAACCGCATTGAGCTCCGTTCACTCGAAAAGATTAAGAACTGATTGGTACGATATAGGTGTGACCCTTCGCCTCGCTTCAGGGTTAATTGGTTAGCAACAGCCCCAGTGGACTTTTTTTTTTTTATCACAACTGGGGGATAGGATGCGGTGTTATGGAAATAGAGTGAGCAATTCAATATAATTGATTTCATTTCCCACTCCCCCCTTCCTTTCAATTGACCGCCCGCTCCCGATTTCCGCACCCAATTCAGAACTGGGTTTACTACTGCGCTCGAGTACTGTACGATGCGAGCACAGTACCTCACCTTGACACGGCACGACCGCTATCCCCCCTGAGGGAATAATACTGTATCCTGGACGAGTACATCACAAGTAAAAACGAGGAACTCGGGCCCCCGCCCGTAGGCGAGTACCAGTCAAATACTGTTTCTGAACCACTTGGGGCCCAGATCCGCATCGCGAATGTGTGAGTGCCAGTATCCGGACCCTTCCTTTGCCAAGGCCCATACAAAAAAGCGGATCCTTCGCGAACTATGGAGTTCGCGAAGCTCGAATTTATTGGTGAACTGTAGCACTAGTATAACAGTTGGTGCGTTTTGTGGCTAGTGTAGGGCAGGTTGCTTGGATGAGCTGCTACCCATGGGTGGTGAATGATTATTTATCAGATATCCGACTAGTACTTCGTAGGGAGTTGATGGGTTGTCTTAGCCGTATGTGTCCTTCCTTTTTTTCCCCACTCTTTCCTCCTGTATATACAGAGGAAGGGGGGCGGGTAGACTATGACGATGCGAGGAATCAGAACCAGAATCGGTATGGGGATTGGGAGAAGAAAAATCTTGAGATGAATCATCCATTTTTGAATACGAAGCGAGTACGAACACTGGGCTAGCACGACATTTTGGAGAAAAAAAGAATGAAATAAATTGTTTTGCGGATCAGATATCAAGACTTGAGATATGTCCGAACTGCATGGGCAAATGATGGTACTACATAACTCTACTCTTTTCATTCCTCCCCAGTGGACAAATAGAACGCTGGCAATGATCTTAGTGCAATTGGTTTTTGTGGCCTCCATACATTCCAAGGATGGCAGGTTACAGTGGTAGACCAGACGAAGGTGTAGATGTCCCATTTCGCCCGTATTTATCGCCATATCCCCCGCCCCCGCAGTCATCCACACGGTACCGCTCACCAGGAGCCAGCGGAGAGGCTACTCCCCCGTCTTCAGCGCGGTCATTTTTAGCTTTTGTATGTCTAGGATTGTTACGTTTTCAATGCAGATAGATATGGATACACACTTGCTTGATTGCTAGCCGGGCGCCCTTTGGATTGACTATCCCTGCGGTAATAACACGGCGGTACGGTAGCTTAGGCGGCGGACCCAAGGAATGTGCAGGTTTCTATCGCTGCAAGTGTGTTTGTGGCTCCGGGTGTGGTGCTATTGTTGTCAATCTGAATTTTACACCGCGGTTGTTCAGACCGAATAACCAGAGACTCGTGGGAAATAAATTGTTCGACCGGGCCCCCTTGGCGCACTATATCTCTGCCATGCTAGTGTTGATAATAGATACCGTTCCCCGCCCAGAGGCATATATTCTGGAAAAATCTGGATGCTAATATGCGGTTCTCAGTCATCACCACAACTCCCCAATCGTTTAACACTCTGAGTATTCACAAGTTAAATATCGACTGAGGTGAGATCCTGGCGCTATATCACTCATTTCAAAGCCAGAACTGACCACCGCGAAAGGTATCCGCAAGACTGGGATCATCTACTTTGCCGTGTTTGCCTTTGCCCTAATACCAATACTTCTGATCGGCAACCTCATCCCTTCCAACACTCCACGCCAGAATTTTGAAAAGCGGGGAGACTTGATGGAAAAAACCTTGACTGTCCTCTTCGCTTCCGGTATTCTCGGCTAGTGTTGTGCACGAGCCGAGCCGGGCTCGAGCCCTTCGAGCCTGGGGGGCCTCGAGCCAAGTGGACTCGAGCCTAGGTGGTCACTAGGCGCGAGCCGGCTCGAACAGGGGTCCACGAGCCGACTCGAGCCAGGAATTGGACTCGGTGATAGTGGGAAGGTCATTTGGCTAGTTGTATTTGTTTTCAAGTTGCTATATACAATTTTTGGTTGATTTGAGTGATAATGGCAGTGTGTAGAGGTATCGTGGCCACTTTAGACTCAAGCCTCTTGGCGGCTCGAGCCGGCTCGTGAACAACACTATTCTCGGCACTCCCCCCGTGCCATTCTCAAGCTCCAGATAGTGTCATATAGTGTTCACACTGACCGAAACAGCGTTATCCACCGCTCTTCATGCAGAAAAATCAGTCATGCGCCGGCGGGTTATGCATCCGGGTTGGTTCAATAACCGCGCGTCAATACATGTATCCACATGACTGTTGTAGGTGGTTGTTATGGTGATGTACGCCGCCACAAGAGCCGATCAAAAGGTTGACATTGAGGGGAATTTTTAGCGGAAATGGGCAGCCGAGTCCGGGAAGAGGATCGTGGAAACGAGTGAAAAAGCCTAACATTTGGCGGCCCTTTCGTAAACTTTTTTTTGTCTTGCGATAGATACGGTTCTTGCTTTGATTAGATCGTCAATCTTGGACTAGGAGAGTGGGAGAAAGCTTGTTTCCTGTTTCATATCCGAGCAGAGAGATCGCTAACAATAATATTAGCTCCGTGGTGATTAATTGGTTGGATGATAGGAGCAATGTAAGCAGAGTATCTGCCGCCTATATTTTTGCAATTTCCGGTCCCAAAAATGGAAAGTCACGACCATATGCTGCGCAGTCTCCTCAAGCAGGTAGTGAGTGGGTTAGAAGTTATTCCTACGGAGATTGATGGTGCGTTTGAGAAGGCAAAGCAAGGTCAAGATGCAAGGGAAGAGAAGCTCAAACAGGTGGCTAGAGGTCTGGGCCTCAAAGATGCTTACATCGATACTCTGAAACGGATAAAGGATCAGGGTGAGAATCAGTTGAAGCTTGCCGTGCGAGCATTGATGTGGGTTTCTCGATCCGAGCGGCCATTACGAGTCGATGAGCTTTGCCATGCTTAGGCAGTGGAAATTGGGTCCATCCATCTGGATCCCGATAAAGTTCCCTCGATTCAGACCATATTAGGCTGCTGTCTAGGGCTTATCGCATTTGCCCGAGAAGCTTCGACCGTGCGATTTATACATTTTACCTTGCAAGAGTATTTATGCGAATATTCGACCATTTTCTCGAACCCCCATGCTACCATCACAGAAGTGTGTTTGACCTCTCGCAACCTCGCGCCCATTAAGGACCTATCGACCACCTCCTACGGAGATACCGGAAAAATTCCGTTTCTTGAATATGCATCTTATCACTGGGGGACCCATGCCGGAATTGAAACCACCTGTACGGGAAAATCACTTGCGGTGAAACTCCTCGATGAATACGGTACCCACATATCAGCTAGGCAGCTCCATCCCAAGATATATTGTGAGAAGGGATGGCTTTAGGACGGAGATCAGGGTCGATCCGCGCAGTTTACGGGACTGCACGCCATAGCATTCTTCGGAAGTAGAGAGATTGCAGCCTCGTTACTGAGGATCAAAGATTAGGATAGAAACAGAAGGGGTTTCGCGGGCCGTACGGCACTAATATGTGCCGCTATGAGCAGAAGTCTCCAGGTAATGAAAATGCTATTGGGTCTAAGAGGCGTGAGCGCCGAGAAGAAATATAATGAAGGACGGACAGCCCTTTCGTGGGCCGCCGGGAATGGTCACCAGGGGATTGTGCGATTACTGATGAGAAAAGATTCGACTGCTCCTCCCATTATGGATAACAATGGCCGAACGCCACTTCTTTGGGTGGCGCAGAGTGGTAAAGAGGATATAGTAAATCTTTTGTTGGGAAGGAATGAGGGCATTGATCAGGTCGACAACCTTGACCAGACTCCACTCATAGGAGCGGCTGCGAATGGGCATGAGGGGTTTGTGAGGATTTTACTACACCAGAAAAACGTCAACCCAGACACCGCAGACAACGACGGTAGAAAACCACTGCCACCGCCGGCTGGAGGCGGATTTGAGGGCGCAGTGAGATTGCTACTCGAGAGGAAGAGGGTCAACCCCAATGCGGCGGACATCAGATACGGCAGAATACCACTATCTTGGGCGGCTGGCAACGGATATGAGACAATAATCAAATTACTGCTCGCGCATAGTGAGATCAATCCAGAGCTGATAGATAAAGGAGGTCGAACACCATGCTCGTAGGCAGCCCAACACGGGCATCGAGGCATAATGAAAATACTGCTAGAACAGGCAAATGTCAATCCGATGACAAGCAACCTCAATGGGCGGACACCAATTTCATGGGCTACGGAGCACTGGTGCGGAGAATCCCGCTTCTCACAGTTAGAGGGAGCCGGTGCCGGTCCCGATTTACCCGATGTCAATGTCCAAACATTTCTCTCTTGGGCTGCTAGCGGTGGGAATATTCGTTTTTTAAAATATCTGCTGTGCCGCAAAGATGCCAACCCGATTATAAGGACAAAAACGAGCTGACGCCGCGCTCGTGGGCTGCTCAAGGCCGTAGCGGGGATATGCTGTCGCTACTCCCGGAATGTGAAAATGTCAACCCTGATTGTAGGGACAATGATGGTCGAATACCGTTCTCGTGGGCTGTGGAAAAGGGAAGCCAGGCAATATTCCAGCTCCTGTTCCAACAAACCGACAGCGACCCGGATTTAGACGACAAAATTAGCCAAACAATGCTCGGGTGGACTTGCCAGCGTGATTCAGCAGACCTTGTACAGCTCTTGCTGGAACGAACCGATGTTGACCCCAATTTGCCTCACAGAAATGGCCGGAGAACGCTCGGGTGGGCTTGCCGACACCCTTCTGTGGACCTTGCAAGGCTTCCACTAGAACGGACCGATGTTGATCCTAATTCGGTTGACACTGGAGGCCAAACACCGCTTTCGTTGGCCGCATCGTTTGAGAATACTGGAGCAATACAGCTCCTCTTGGACAAAGCCGATGTTGATCCCAATTTGGCTGATCAATATGGCCTAACACCGCTCTCGTGGGCCGCAGCTAGAGGGTACACCGAAGTACTACAGCTCCTCTTAGGGAGACCCAATGTTGATCCCAATTTGGCTGATGGATATGGCCAAACACCGCTCCCGTGGGCTGCGGAGTCGGGAAATACAGGAGCAGTTCAGTTCCTCTTGGAACAAACCGATATCGATCCCAGTATTTCGGACTACCGAGGTCTAACCCCGCTCATGTGGGCTACCCGAAAACGGCATCCTAGAATTGTTGGGCAACTATTAGAACACCGATCACACACAATTCTCTAAACTATCCTGCTGACCGAACGCCGTTGAAAGCGAACAATAGCCAAGCCTCCTTAGCATCATGGAATTGGTATGTTTTCTGAACCTTCTAAATGAAGGCTTGCCACCCCCCACTTCACTAAGTTAGGACACCCTTAATTACTAACCCCCCACCCCGCCGCTGCATCCCGAGGGCCTATCTAGAGGAGGGTGGTGAAGAATAGTAGTGACCGTCTCGCAGTTTTTCAATGCTGATGGTAATAGCGAGTCCCGTACTTCGAAATGAAAAGAAGAGATCTCCATATTCTAATGTTTCCCTCTCCCTTCCTTCACTTTACTTTCCCTTCCACGGTTGCATCTCTAGCTGTCGCTAATTACCTCTAGTTGTTTCCCATTTATTAGCTCACTCCCATTATATACTCTGTTTTCCATCATACCGTACATTGTTTCAACTCTCCAGAGATGGTTTTCCCATTTCCAATTCTTTTAAGATGGCAGTTCTTTCCTAACTTTACCCCTCCCCCCCCGCTCTTCTGCACAGGCTCATTCTCGTCATGTATCGTGTAGCCGGTATCGGTTAGGATATCGGACTCTAGAGATTGGAATCGACCAAGTACCCCTGCCCTCTAATACTCGCACGCGTAATTACAAAATCAGTTAGAAAAACATCTCTTTTGATATCCTGGTGCCATCTTTTCTTGTGATAACCGGTCAACCCTAACCCTCAAATATTAGACTAATAGCTCACCCATCCAACCCGTCGCACTCGGCTCTTCGCGGGTTGCTTACGATATCCTGCGACACAACGCCTTCGCCGGGGGTCACAGGGATCCTGTTTACCCTAAATCTCCGACCTGTCGCATAGTTACACTCGCAAAAACTGGGAAAAGGAGTTTCCGGATTTGTATCATATTCTGAAAAGCATTTCCCTTGTACCCTGTGGAAAGTTGGGCTGGCGAGATGACCCATGTGGCAAGGGTTAGAGAGGCTATATCAAAAAATGGATGAATGCAGAGCTAGGAATAAAGGATGGAATAAGGGGAATATCAGCTGAGACGGTGGGATTGGGAAAAGTGATAGAGGAGAAAGTGGGTAAACTCTGTATCGCACAGTGCTGTGGAAAATTCTAGATTTTGGAATCGAGCCACTGCCCATGCTGTTGGTCTTTATGATGCCTACGGTGAAACCAGCAAAGAGAGATGGACTGACAGCTTTGTATGAATATGAACCTTGCAATCTTCATCCTGAACGTGACTAAATGAAGTTGGTGGGTTTGTTCTCTTCGCGATCATTTCTTTACGTTCTGATGAGTAACCGCTCGCAATTTCTACAACCGTCGGTCTTCTGGAGGGGTTAAAAGTAAAATATCCACGAGGGAAGGAAAAATCTTTATTGGTCTTGAAATAGCTTAAAATGGAAGGCTAGAGTAAATTTAATTGCACCCCACGCCAAGAGGTCCAGAATTTCCCCTAGGATTAGGGGGAGACAGATTCAGGGGGAAGAATCTGGCTTCTCCATTTCCAATAATACAGTTAAGGCGGAAACCCACGGGTAACCTAGCAGGAAACGGCAAGCCTAGTGCCTATCGTGAGGTTCAATTATTCTAGTTCCTACTCTATCATTACAATTTAAAGACCGAATCGTTTGATACCGTAAGAAGCGTGTGAAGTTGGGCTATCCGGGGTAGTGGGGTACGAACACACCATCACTTGTTTCTGCGATACCCTCGCAGTGCTCCCTTCTGCAGGTTTCCAAAGACTTTTTTTCAACATCATAGGTAGTCACTCGTTTATAACTTATAAGAGGTTGTTGTAATTATTTAGGGAGTACAGGAAAACTTGAGGAACCGAACTGCTCTTCAATTTCTACAGAATACAAGACTTATATACTACCCGACCTTAGCAGTCACTATGGATGATCTGTTCAATACCAAGATCATATCCCCAGCTAGGCTTCCTAGCGTAGATGCTATCTCAGCTCTGGCTTAACTCATCCTCCGCTGAGGACTACAAGAATCTTGAGAAGCAACTATTTCCGGGAGAGGTAGAGGTGTCTCGGTGCTTTTTCATGGTTGTTCTGG